CTGCTTACCCTTCCGGAGCACCTAAGATCACCCCCAGTTTTTGGTGGGGTTCGTGTTGCCTAGTCTTTAGTTTTCTATGTTGTGTCATCTGTACTATTATTTGTCTGTTTGTCTTTTTATTTTTGGCCATGGCGTTGTCAGTTTGTTTTCGATCTATGAGTTTAACTGTCCCTCTGGTATCTTTCGTCCCTCTTTTATGGGACTTATGGTAATATTCTACATGACATACTCTAGATCTAGAATATAAAAATAAGGAGGTGAGGTATGATTGCCAATGAGACAACTATCAACCAAAGTTCAAATAAAGTGGATGCAAGCAAATATATGCAACCGTACGACCTTCAACAATGAGAAAAAACCCATACCGTATAGACGGCTATAAAATGCCTCGACATGAAAAATATTAAACAATTCAATTGAGAAAACTAACGGCCTAATTTAATGTTTGGATTAAGACACTTTACGCTGTAGTTGGTATTGGCGAATCTAGACTCGCTTTGGCCCATGCTACTGGATATGATGTTTGAAATGTATTACACGTGATTTCCAGTTAGGAGATGCTTTTCCTTTCGACGCAGCTAGTCTTGCTCTGTCCGGAGCGCACCCATTTCTGATTATAGTCATTCTAAGTTTGTCTGTCAGTGGTTGTACCTCCTTCATATTCAGATTATTAATACATGCCATGGTACAAATATCTTCCTTAACCTCGCAAGGAATATATCGTCGTGTTGACTGAATTTAAAACACTTACAGCTGTTATCCTAATGCTATCAAGTTAAAGGTTTGGTTGGCTTGCTTGGTTTGTTTGTATCAATGTTTGCTCAAGATTGACATCTGCAAACAATATAAGTAGGCGGAGTTAAACCTGAGTGTATATAAATATAGGTAAATTTGATTATTTGATAATGTCTTATCAAATTTAAATATAATGTATACAAGTTTAACTCCACTTTTTATATTGTTTTCAGATGTCAATCTTAATTACAATGCTTGAGCAATCTTTATACAAACAAAGCAAGCAAGTCAACCGAACCTTTAACTTGCTAGCATTATGATAACAGCTGTAATGATAATCTGCGGGATTTCTAATATAAAAATAAGAATATATGGTATGCTAGGTCAAGGGTCGACTATTAACCAGAGACTAAAGGATGAGGATGTAAACAACTGATATCGACAATTATTTTTTGTATCCTTGTCTTTAGTATTTTTAATAGGGAAAATAATAATAATCGACAATCCACTGCGACTTTCCATAACCTAACACTGGTTTATATCTGGAGCATCAACATATCAATATATGTAAATAAACTAGGACAGCGCAGTCGGGAATGAAGACAGAAAACGCTATGAAAAAAAAATTAAATTTGTTCCAGTCAAATTGCTTAAAATCATAAAATATAATATGGTATCAAAAACATTTATCTATTCTACTTTTTACTTTTTACTAAATAGAATATTTATTTCACATAATTCAGAAACACAAGTGTAATACAGCCCTAGCGACTAAGTAAAATATAACATTTCAGACCAAATTTCAGTTTATGGACTGTTCAGTCAAATCACAAAAAACTATATTCTCCTATATAAGTAGATGACCGCCCAGTTCATAAACTGCCATAGCGCTCGGTGTCATTATTTCAATTACTTAATTCAAAATACTGCATTATTTTCTATAAAGTGTCAACCTTGTTAAACAAACACAGCACTTGAATATGACAAAATACTGCACAAATGTCTTTTTAGATTTAAATACTTTTCATTAGCTCAGTAACAGTTTGATGACACTTTGGGAGCACCTCATGTAATGAAGTCTCCAATTTATCAAATGTCAAAATTTGTGTTAAAGTCTTAGTTCCCAATCGATTAATTTGTTTGCTAAGCTTGTCGATTTATTTGCATTATATTAAGTAGCCCAAAGGTGATATAAACTTGACAGGTTAATGCGAATGATGAAAATGTATTGAATTTTTTTAAACTATAGAAAAAAAACACCCAACTAAGGTTATTTTCAGAATTCTTTTAATGGTCTAAATTATTTGCTCATATCAAATTAACATCTTCAGCGTGGTGGATAATTATTCAATTATTTAGAAATTATCGCTTGATTTTAGGTGAGATTTATATTCCATCGTGATTTAAGCTTCAATTTTGGATCAGTTTACCTCCGATTAAATATTATTTCATAATTTAAAAAAATAATGTATTAAATATACTTTAAAGACATTGTTCTTTCATCCCAGTACGTAGGTATCAATTTTTAATTTAAATGCACCAAGACGGGGGGCGTGTAATAATATACGAAGAAATACACTGAGTACTCCGTCTAACATTTGACAAATACAATAATAGATATTTGTTTTATATTTGCATATCTGCATGTAAATAAATCGAAGCATGGACTAACGGATGGAATAACACGCTAATGTTAGTTGACAACTTGAAATTTACAATAAACATACACTGCATGACGTACTTTACGTCAAAGGTTTCAACTGAGCAAAAAACTATTGCAGAATTGTGCTTTACATCTCATTTCATTTATCAGTTTTTCAATGGGTTTAAGAATCAGAAGTTTATATAATTCCCAATTACAATAAAAGGTGTAACATCATTAATTCGGGCTCGGTCAGAAAGAGCATTACCAGAAAGTAGTAGATACTTAAAACAAAATAGTTCCTACGCATGGGTGTAACTTTCAAAATATGTAGAATATTTTGGTATCAAGTGAAAGCTGAACTACTGTTGGTTCGTGTAGAACACGTTTTGACTAAGAATTTTCAATAATAAAATAATTTGCATAACATTGAAAAAGGAGGATACATTTTGCTTTTTTTAAATCGGAAGTACCTGTTTTGGTACTCCCTAAGTTCCGGACCCCAATACGCTCTTATATGCAATTAAAGACAGTATGTTGATTTTCAGCAAGCTAAGGTAGCGCTTTGACATGAAATGGCTGTCACTTTATTTGAACTTAAAAATAAAGAGATATAAATGCTTGAAATTGATTTATTTAACATAGAAAGCAATGGGGCCAAGAATTAATGGTTTGTCTCTATAAACATCGAAAAGAGATTCGCATTGATCTCTTGATATAAAGATTTCTTTAGATTTATTTCTCAGAGACTACGTTATACACCATTCACATAATTATAGAAACCACAAGCATGCTTTTGTAATAGGTTACAAGGAAGCTATTGAACCAACGATGTCAACTGGTAAAGTTCAAGTTATTCCTTTGCAAATTTTACGGATGCCATCATGATTTGGCTTACAGATGACCACGGATATTCTTTTTGGCAATGGAGTTGGTTTATATCCGGCTTTTTGTTTTTGATTGACATCTCGGTACCTTCTCTCTGTTTTTATTAATAGGAGATACTACCTTCAGCAATATTTAGAAAATTGAAAGAAGCATGTTAAACTTTAAAAATTCTACAACATGACCAGCAGAAACAAATGTTGACAAACGTGATCTTCTTGGATGTTTGATCAGACTATTTCTTACTTTACGCTTGGTTTTGAAAATTTATATCAAAGCTGATACGACACTAGTTTTTCATTCTGTTCGTTGGTTGATAACGTTTGATATTGTTAGTTTTTACAGTTCAGTGTTCTTATGTTGTGCTGTTACCCTATTCTCCCATGTTAGGGGAGGGTTGAGGGCTCACAAACATGTTTAACCACGCCACATTCTTTATGAGCCTGTCCTAAGTTAGGAAGGAGCCTGTAGTTCAGTAATTGTTGTTGTTCATGTCTGTCATATGTGTTTTTCGTAATTTGTTTTCAAATTGTATAGATTAGGCCGTTAGTTCTCGTCTGAATTGTTTCACAAAGTTCATGTCGGGGCCATTTAAAGCCGACTATACGGTATGGGTTTTTCAAATTGTTGAAGGCCGTACAGTTGCCTATAATTGCTTACATTTACTTCTTTTGAACTCTGGTGGATAGTTGTCTCAATGGTAATCATACCAAATCTACTTATTTTTAAACTGAATTTTGATTGACAACATAATTATTTACTACGTTTTGTAGATATTTTTTTCCCCGAAAGACATATTAACCAATTGTTCTCTTCTCTCCGAAAGAAGCTAGCATAATCTTGATATTTTCAAGAAAAAAATATGGTTGTCTAAAAGATTTCATATCATTATACAAATGCATGGTTACGAATATTTTCTTGTTGTTGTAGTCAAGGTCCCGTACACCCTTCCTCCTTCGTGACTTGTTATTGGAATTTACTTGTCATGAGCAAATAATCGCACAGGAACTGCGTACCGATCCGAAGCAACTGCATGAATACTTTGTCTATGAAATTTTAATTTTTAACGTATATAATTTCTTTGTGTCATGTCCTTGTCAACCCTCAACATGAAAACTGGTTCGTATTTTCATTTCAAACTTTGATTGTGTATAAATGTTGAAGAAATCATCGAAAATTTGGTAATTTTTAGGGTTTCACAAGAGCTATCTTTGAATCCATAACTTATGCGTTTTCACCAATTGCGAATATAAGTATCGAGTGTATGCTTACATCGACTTCATTTGAACTTTGATGGATAGTTGTCTCATTGGCAATCATACCACGTCTCCTTATTTTTATATTAACTTTACATGTGTCCTTAGTAAATGAGAAACAACAATATTTTACCAAAAGACATCGGTAGATAATTCACTCTTTACAATAGGGATCCTGTTGGTCCATCTAAATTAGTTTATTTGTGTTAAATCTATTGAAATATTGTCATGTCGTATTTTTCTTTTTGTCATGATGTTGTTTCCCCCATTGATGCCTTCTTATTTTTCTTCTTCAGTTTTTATTTTGATTTCATGAAAATTATTCCCCTTCTTCATTATAACTGCAAAATGCCCTTTCATTGAAAATTTGTTTTTTTAAGCGTGACCGGTTACCGAAAAGACAGCGGTTTAAATATGCACTTAGTTTGAACGCTAGATCATAAACTTAATCAAACTCTCGAAGTTCAACTTTGAATATAGTTTTCATTGTTGGAACAATAATTTTAACTTGCCTGCCCCTGAAACAAATCTGCGACATTTCAAGTCTGCAAACTAAATAGATGGATTGACATAACAATTGTCTCTTTCTTTAACAATATGACTAAAATAATTGTTCATCACAACTTTATCGATTAAAATTGTGATTGGTCATCGCAATTAATAATTATATCTTTTGTGCATCAAACCAAGATCACATTGAATCAGTTAGATATTTGTAGACTGGATATAATCACGATAGAAATTTAATCAAGCACGAATTACGAAGGCGACAGGACCAATTAATTTTTATTTATCAAAATGAAATATTTAAAGAGACAAATTTCTTCGTCTTTATTACTGTGAAAGTGTACCAGTTGAAACGATGATCCAACTGCTTGTAAAATGTTTTTTGGTATTAATTCTTATAAATTCTTTGCAAGGTAGGTGTTTTTATATTGATACTTTTATGACATTTAATATATTTTCTTATCATCAAAATTAATGAAATTAAAATTATAGTATTGGTCATACCAACATGATTTTATGAAATAGATAAACCATATAAATTTAATTTTTATAGGATATCAAATGCAATTACTATGTTCGGTTATTAAACGTTCATAATAATTGCTTGTATTTGACTTCAGACATGTTGCATACGGCACGAATGTTGCATTAAGAGTCGTATTAAAAGCATTTAGATTGTTAAAAGGGGGTTGAGAAAAAAAGAGAGAAGACGTTTCAGATAATATTATCCACAATTGAACTTATACATTTAAGCGCGCGATTTGTGTTGGAAAAAACAAATAAGCTGAAACGTAGAAGCATTTATTTAAGTTTGAAAATGGAAAGGACTTTATTGTTGAAATAATGATAATAATAATAATGATAATAATAATAATAATAATAATAATAATAATAATAATAATAGATAACATCCGACTAAAAATCAATTTAAGATGTACACTTGACAATTCACAGATGATAAATTTTGTAAATATTACAGAAACTTAGATTTACAACTACTTCAGATATTTAACTTTATATGGTTTTGAATATTCTCTCTTAATGCTGCTTTTGTTAATACGGTTCACAATACCCACTCCCAACTCTTTGATTTACAACACTTTTGACTCTACACATTACTAATGATGATAGACTCTAAAATTTACATCTTTATGTATTAAAATTAGTACATTTTATTTTGAACAACTATCAACGAGTTGGAAAAAAATGACTACTGAACGATAGTCAATTTGTTTACACCATGATTATCAACGTGCTTCTTTCTAATTTCGAACAGAAAGATTTTGTCTTCATTTGTGTCACATATTGTGTCAATTCGGATAGTTGATAAAACCCAGTGAAATATGAATATGAATTAGTCTAAATGATATACAGTTCTCTTCGAACATTTTGATTAATATCCTAAAACTATAAATATATTATGGCATACAATTTGCCGTTGAATGAGTTTTTGATAAAATATTACATTTCATAACATCCTTTTTATAAATTTCAATTGAAGTACCTAGAATATAATAAAAGATAGTTGTATCTGATAGCAAAATGAAAGGAAGCTATTAGAATTTGGTTTGAAACGTTTTTCATATTTTTTTGCGGTTTCTAAACTGTACTGTATTTGATCCTTCTTAAAATATTTATAATTTTATTAATTGGTCTGAATTTTACACGATGTTATACGAGACTCAAAATACAAACAGGGGCTATGATACAGTAAATTTTATCAAATATTTAAGGACTATTTGAAAATGATGAAAGTCCTATAGTACTAATCTTGTACAAATGCTATGATTGCAACACCATCAGTAACAGTTCACTTTAGATTGCCATGGTTTTCATTTGTGTTCTCTTTAAATGATAAGGGGCCTAGGTTACCGAGTGGTCTAAGTAGTCGAACTACTGTATCATTAGCCTGTCAACACTTGGGTTGTGAGTTCGAATCCGGCATGTGGCAGATGCGTTCGACTCCAATCTTGACTGAGTAGGATTGTCAGTTTTTCTACCGCAAGTCGGTGGTTCACTCCGGATTCCTCTATCAATAAAAACTGACCACCACGAAATAAAACAATAGCGTTGAAAGTGGCGTTAAACACCAATTAATCAATCAATCTTTAAATTATACAAACCCCCTCTCTTTATAACAAGTTGACTATCATGGAAAGTTTGGCACCTTATGTTCCTGGCGAAAATTCCAAAATTAAACTCATCAAAGATACCAGCTGGTAATCAAGTACGCCGGGCGCACGTTTCGTTCTCAAAAGACTTATCAGAGGCGCTCGAATCAAAACAATTACAAAGCCAAATCAAATACGAAATTTAAGAGCATCAATAATAAAAAAAAACGTAAAATTCCAACTCTTTGGTTCTTTATGTTCCTTACAAAAGTTCCCGCTGTTTGGCTCCCTATATATCTATTAAAGACTAATCGCGAAACGGCACATCCAACGGGCAAACCATAATGTTTATCAAAATAACATTTTTACAAATTATCAGACATTACAATCTAATATATTAGATACCTGTATTATATATCAATATATGATATTTTCCAATCGTGTAAAATATCACACGATTGAAATATATCAAAATTAAAAATTAAATAAAAATCAATGAGTCGAAAAAAATGGGATATAGAATAAGCAGAAAATATTTTGAAAAGGAATTTCATCATCATGTTTACATTAGATATGTGTAATTATGCTCACTCTGGTTCCTTTCTGTATTTTTTCTGGACATCACTTTTATATTGTCCATTTTCTGATTTTTATTTGTCGCACTCTTGTTTTATATGAAATAATAGAAATGTTCGATACAAATATATAATTACTAACTCTGTAATAACTCATATCATAGGGATAGTATCTGGTGTAGTGGTTTGTACCTCTCATTACACTACTGACTGATATCTGAACATAATTGTGGATAGAAAAGGTTAAAAGTTCATTTTTTATTCTTAAACTATATACTATAATTGTGTAGTTTTTTTTTTCGTGTAACGAGTTACGTCCGAAATGTTGTCAACATTCTTAAATGAGGCGTGTATTTCAAATATATTTCGCTAAATCAACTTCACCATTGTGTGTTTTGGATAGCAAAGAATTTCAAATGAGATGTCAAAAATGATTTTACTTTAAAAGTATATAATTTCAACATTTTAATGTCAAGAACGTCTTTTCATTGATACCGCCAAGCATAATATGAAAAAGGCATTAAGGGAAATGAAATGTTGTGTATAAAACTTAAAACTTTTTACTCGGACTTCCGTCGCGAAGTTTTGCATTCAAGAAAAATAGACGATGTCAAAGAAAAAAAGATAATTGATTGATTGATTGGTGTTTAACGCCACTTTCAACACTATTGTGCTATTTCGTGGCGGTCAGTTTTTATTGGTGGAGGAAGCCGGAGTGCTCGGAGAGGACCACCGACCTTCGGAAGGGAAACTGACAATCCTAGTCAATTAAGATTGGAGTTGAGTGCACCTGCCCCGTGCGGGATTCGAACTCACAACCTCAGTGTTGACTGGCTAGTGATACAGTAGTTCGACTACTTAGACCACTCGGCCACCAACGCCTCTAAAGAAAAAAGATAAACAGAATAAAAAACAGTACAAAGAACTATAATAAGATTGAGAATGACACATCAAAAACCAACAAAGAACTCAGCTCCTCTGTACGGGTCAACAATTGCTCCTTAACCTTAAACCTATGTCATGCTTCTTCTGTTAAAATCCGTGGAGACATCAAGCAAAACTGGCTTAGTAAATGTCTCCTGTCTAATCATACGGAATTACCAGATTTCACCTAATGTAGAGTATGAATGAAAAAGCAGTATTGGGGAAAAAAGGACGGTAATGACTTATTTTTTGAGAGATAATATATAAAATGTAAACTAAACTACAAGTACTCAAAATACAACACAGAAAAAAAAGCAGAAGCAACACGAACCCCTTATAACATAGAAGTGAACTCATGTGCTCTGGAAGGGTTAGCAGCTCTTGCTCCAGCGTTGGGTTCTTTAACAATGAGCAAAACCCATACCGTATAGTCAGCTATATAAAAGGCCCCGAAATGACAAATGTAAAACAATTCAAACGAGAAAACTAACGGCCTGATTTATGAACAAAATAATGAACGAAAAACAAATATGATATACAGCAACAAACGACAACCACTGAAATACAGACTTCTGACTTGGGACAGGCACATACAGAATGTGGCGCGGTTAAACTAGTTTAAAGGCGCCAACCATCCCCCTAACCTGGAGAAGTTGTGTAAAAGTACAACATAAGAACAAACTTTTGCAATTAAAATTTGATTCTACATGTATTATTAATTGGTCTTAAATAAATAAGAAAGAAAGGTTATACATATTGACCATTGTCCTGTCATTTGTTTCTCTGGTTGTCATTCTGCAATTTGCTTCGCAAAAAAAAGTTGTCTTCAACTATGATTCATGAAATTTTATATTTGGATCTGCTTTATTTTTCAATCTGCATATTTTTCGTATTATAATAAGGAAAGTGGATTTTGTCATATCTAAAAAGAAATTAATAAGGCGGAAAGAATTAATTTTGCGAAAAGCTATATTTAAAGTTTTTCTACTTTCTGGCTCGTAAGAAACTTTTTGCTGCTCGTTTTTTTTTTAGAATTTTAATTTTAGATAGGATGACAGTTTGGTGTAATTCTATTATAGATTTAACTACCTAGCGATAGCAATGTATTTCTTTAAACTTAGGCAATTATCCATTCTAAATTAGTTTATAGGTTTTGCATAAAATAGATTTAAAACTCACAGCATGACACATAAAAACAAATAAACAATAAAGGTTTCTGAAGAAACTACCAAAATGTTAAATTAATCACTCTACTTTCTACATAAAGAAATGAAGTTGTAAAAGTAAATATGAAAGTTTAAATACTATTTTCATTCTTTTGAAATTCAAATTAAAATACATTTTTTTAATAATTTATTCAAAATTAGTTTTAGTGCGCATGACGAATGATTCTGGAATAACCTTCCACAGTGATTGTGTACTTAAGTTCAAGTTTGTGAACCCTACATTCAGATTTGAGTATTCTTTTAGGTCCCATATGATCCTATAACTCGCCACGTGTTTAGGTAGTTATACATCCTGTGCTTTCGACAAATATTTTGGGTATGAGCGTTCCGAAATAAAGTTAATCAAAGAAAGCGCTTCGGACAAAACAAAATAAAGTGTTATTTTCATTTTTCATATCTACCGGAAGTCTTTGACTTTCCAGCCTCGTCAATGCAAAAACAAATAAATATAACGAGATGTGGTATAAATCCCAAATGAGACAACTATTCATCGATTTAACGTGATATTACGATGACGATATAACAATATCGTTTCTATGACATATTGTAAGCCCGATGCTGAGCATAAATCTTATTG